AGTCTAGAAGATATTATACAAAGAAATGTCTCTATATGCAATGAATATTTAATAAACTAGAACTAAAACGGATTAGTTCTATGAATATTTGATCAAACTAATTAAACAAAAAGATTCATTCATAATAGTACTCTTGAACTATGGGATGAACACTAAATATCTAAGCTTTCATAATTTTGTTTTCTTTTCTCAATTAATAATATATTATAAACTTAAAACATTATTGATAATTAGATATCTAAATATATAATCATCACTACAATCTTTTGATCTTTATTATGTCATAGAAAAAAAAAAGTCGTCACAATCGATAATTTTTTATTTTCAATAATTTTATGATAAATCGAGTTACAAAATATCAAAATATTACAAATAAACTCTATTTATGGATACAATATGCAAAAACGAGAAATTTTCATTATTATTAGAAAAATAGAAATTTGGAATAATTCTTTTATTGTTAGTAGAAGCACGTACACCATTCATATTCACAAGATAAATATTAAAAAAAAAAATTCTCTTTTCAAGTATTACCATTCATGTGTTATTATTAAAAAAAAATAAAAGAACGGGAGCACACATGAACACATTTCGGCTGCTTTTGACTTTCAAGGCCCAAATTAATTGAGTCATATATAGAATGAAAGATTGTGAGTTCGTGATGACGTTGATTTGATTATAGATTTAAATAGGCTATTTCTTCACAACATACTAATGGGCAGCTAGTTATTGATATTAACCAGTAATGTAAACATTTGTTTGACAGAAAAAACAAGAACAAATATAGGTGAAGATCTATTCAAAGTTATTCTAGTAGTCCTTTGTTCAGATTATATTCTCATAATAGAACTATTCATTTACAATAATGTTTTCAATCTATTAGATCTTATATGAATCTTTTATTGTTTGCATTTTGAATCTGAAATATCTATGTGCATTTCATTTGTCATTTAATTATTATGTCAATGAAACTTCCTTCCCACTTAGTTTATTCCGCATTCAGTAGAACTTTTCAAGCATTACACAATGAATTACTTTTTTACGGTCAATAAAACGTTGACTACATATATTTTACTATTCTTAAGGTTCAATTTTTAACTTTTTCGACTGATATTTCATAGTTTTCAAGTAGAATAATACACATTTGACTTCAAAGAAATACTATATTTGGAATCAGAATAAGTTTTAAACGTTTTTTGCAAGTTATTTCTTTTTCTAGTGAATTTTTTACACGTGAACGTTCTGAAAGGATACGTGAAAAAATGACTTTAATCAAAACAACTATTTTATTGTTTAATCAACTGTCTTTTTGTCTTCAAATAAGATTTTACAAGTTCAGAAAGTGTTTTCTGCTGCTACAATAACTTTTTGATTAAATTCATTTTTTCACACATCTTTAAGAATACTCAGAAGTGACTAAGTCAACAAGACAAAAAAAGTAACAGAAAAAGTTTGAACCTTGTTCTAATTTCAAATATAATATTTCTTTGAAGTCAAATGTGTATTATTCTACATGAAAACTATGAAATATCAGTCGAAAAAGTTAAAAATTGAACCTTAAGAATAGTGAAATATATGTAGTCAACGTTTTATTAACCGTAAAAAGTAATTCATTGTGTAATGCTTGAAAAGTTCTATTGAATACAAAGTGAGCTAAGTGGAGAGAAAGCTTCATTGACATAATAACTAAATGACAAATAGAATACACATGAATATTTCATATTCAAAATGCAAACAATAGAAGATTTGTATAAAATCTAATAGATTCAAAACATTATTGTAAATGAATAGTTCTATTGTGAGAATATAATCTGAACAAAGGACTATCAGAATAACTTTGAATAAATCTTTACCTAGATTTGTTTTTTTTGCACTGTCAGACGAATGTTTACATAACTGGCTAATATCAATAACTAACTACCCATTTAGTATGTTGCGAAAATAAATCCTATAATCAAGTCAAGATATTTCGATTTTATTATCAAGATGTTTTAGAAACTCACGATCTTTCGTTCTATACATATCTCAATTAGTTTGTACCTTGAAAAATCAAAAGGAGCTGGAACACATTCTTGTGTGCGCCTGTTATTTCAGCTGTAAACAATGAAACATTCTTGAGAAACTATCTGACATCATTTGCCATAGGTCATTCGTGATTATAATTCTTTTCTAAGATTAACGATTATACTTCTTTCAAATATTCTTCTTTTTTTGACATTTTGTTTTTCATTATGAAGATGACTCGTAAATGTAACTCTATTAATAATAACAAAATCGACTCGTTGACTCATCATTTAACGAAGGTATTTAAAGTATTTCTTCTTAGTCAAATGATTTTTGGCTCACATCCTGTATGTTTCCTTTTACATTGATGAAATTATGATTATATATTATTTTTTTCATATCCGTTTTTTTTATTATTTTCGCATTTTTTTTTAATACAGAGTTCAAATAAATGAGTAGTAACAAAATGAAAAGACGTTGTATAATAGATGTCTGACATCTCAATGTCATAAATAGACGCCGTTAAAATATTCGAGACTCAACATCAACGAACAATCTATATAAAATTAATATTAATACTTTAGGAACAATTCAAAATAAATTCTATTCTATTCGTAGAATTAAATGACAAGATCTTCATAGTTTCATCTATAAAATAATATTAAAAACAAAAGATCTAATTTATCGGTGATATTCTTGATAACAGTACATCATTTCATTACATCTTGTTCTTTATAGTACAAATATATAATTGTTTCACATCACTCGTGAAAAAAAAATTATTAGTTAATTTTTGATTTTAAAAAATAAGCCAATAAAAAGAAAGAGGTTTTTTGTTACTTACCGACATTAATAAAATTTTCAGATGAACGATTATTTGAGATTAATTTAAATCCTTTTTCATTCCTACAAGAAACATGCATGTTATGTACATAAAGTAAAGTAGATATTCGTAAAGAAAAATTATTAATACTATTGTAAACAAATTTCTTATTATGATTATTACTATTATTATTATTATGGTTTTTCTGTCTATTCGGTATTTTTCTTTTCTTTTCCGTCAGTTGTCATTTGAACTAAAACTTTCCTTTTTTTTCAATATTTCCTTTTTTGACATATCATTTGACTTATTATAAAGTTACCCAATCATTAATCTATTTCAGACATTAATCCGTTTTTCGAGACAATTTAAAATTATCTGAAATGAATTTTCTGTATAAAGAATACAAGAAATTCTAGTTGTCTTGTTATTTTTAATGAGAAGTCATTTATAGTATTTGAATTTCAAAAGGAAATTATCTGAATGAAGATAGTATATGGTCGAATGAAAACAAAAATGCGTTAGAATTTAACAGAAATATGTTTCTCGAAAAATTCCATATGGCATATATATAAGTCAATTGGATCATACGAAAGGATGGTCCATATAAAATACACTGACAGCTGTTGGACTATAGAACATTTTTTTGGTATCTATTTTTCTTATTGGAACGGCGACTATTGTATTCGAAGTATATATATATGTATATCTGTGACATGTAGGATCTTCTCTGTGACTTACTTAGTAATATCGATAATTAACCAAGTTACAATTTATTCTCGTCAGCAAATCCATTGATTGACACTTTGTTTACAGATGAAATCGAGTACGACAGTAGAACAGAGCGAAAGAGTTCGTTTGCATGATGAAATATGTAGTGGATGTCTATTGAAAGTAATGATTTTGTGTAACTAGCCACTATATGACAATGACAGAGAGAAACAAAAAGACATGATCAAGTGTCGTTTCATATATCCCGTGGGAAACAATGAGAATAAAGCAAGAGATGTTTCTATCATAATCATGATCAAATTCTTAAGTTAAGAAAGAAAATAAATGAGAAAAGAATATATGTGTTTATATATTCACTATTCGGAAAGAGATATAAAAGTCGAGAGCATCAAAGAGACAGAGATAGAGAGAAGAAAAAAACAGAAAGAAGATTATTGATCGATATTGAACGCAGATTTTCTTGTCTTCAATGTTCGTTCATGCATCATTCTATACACGATAGAATTAGAGGATTAGTGCCTAAAAAAAAAAAAAGAATAAAAAACTATTTCCTTCGTTACAAAAGATGAACAACAATCGATAGAACGGAAATATAATTTGCTATTATTTAATTGTTGTCAATATCTTCGGTTCAATTTTAGTCTATACAAAGATATTTCGTCGATAAAAATATAACACATGCGCTATTTTACATCCTACATATAGTTTTCTTGCTTATACACAATACAATGAAATTTAGATACACTCAATTAAACTTATTGTATTGATGATAATCGACTAGTATGTTGAAGACATATGCGTAAATTTCGTTGTAAAAGCGTAACGCATATGATAAATCAGTTTAACAAAAAAAAAAAAAAAAAATTTTTCCACGCAAGTCTATGCATAAAATTCACAAAAGAGTTTGTGTGGGCGTTTCTTTTCTTTTTTTCGTTTCCAAATAATCTCGGAAATCAATCAAAATTCAATAAAAAAATAATCTATTACTATAGCTACAAGAAAAATATTTTATATACATCATTGTTTTTTTTTTTCATATAAATTAATAGTCATAGCGTAGAAAGGAAAATATAATATTTTCTATGTCATCAAAAAATTCATAAAAGAAAGCACTAAAATCATTTTAATGGTTTCTATAAACAGAAAAAAACCATAACGAACTATCGTTGATGTTGTTACTACCTTCCAATTGCAAGGAGAAAAAAAAAAGAATATGAAGTTTCCCTTGTGTCATATATTTACATATGATTAATTCAATTATATTATTGAAATAAGGATAGTTTTATTTTTAACATTCAGTGAATATAGGACAAGAAACAAAACAAAACAAAACAAGATTTCTATTCTTTATTTTAATCCAGTTGTAATTATTATAGATAAGGTCTTCAAGTTTGATTTATATTTGGCTTACTTATATTTGTCATCAGTTGTCACAAAAAGAAAAATGATTAATGCCATTACAAGACATGATGATCGTCACGTATCTTCAAATAGACAAAGTTCATCTGATGATATCTCTAGTGTATCTTCTGAAAATTTATTACCTGTTGATAAAAGCAACCAACAACCAAAGATTAAAAGAGATACTATACGTGTTTCTCGAATCAAAATTAATGATCTTAATAAACAACAAAATTTAAGAATTAAATATCTTTATCGACCAAAAGATAATATAGAAAATTTATTGAATGCTAAAAAAAAATTTACTATTAATGAACATATCAAAGTATCTTATGTAAAATATCCTAGTGCTGATGATCCAAATACAAAAATACCAGTTTTAAGATCAAATTCAAATTCAAGACAAAAATATACGGATCATGTAAATGATTCTCATCCTAATAATAAAATACCTCAGAATATAAATGGGAATTTAGTCAATAGAACAACTAGAAAAATGACATCAAGACAAAGTGCAGTACATGGCAATCGTACACCAACAGCTGCTCATATAAATCAAGGTTCTAATCAAAAAATAATTGCTTCCAAGCCTATGAATACACAGCAACCAACTCAAATGAATCAAAAAACATTGTATACGTCTGTCAAACATGTATCTGACAAAGTCAAAAAATTATAATAAATATTATTTAAAAAGATTTTTAACTTGATTCTTTTTTTTATTTATATGATTTTTAATTTTTCTCTCTTTTTATTTTATATCGTTAAATAAGAAACAGGTCAGTAGTCTATTTTATTACTATAAATAGAACAATTCGAACTTTTGCTTCTAGAGAGAATACGTTTTTTTTTTTGGGGTATAGTTTGTCTACCAAACAGAGCTCCTAATTACTCGTATACAATTTCTATCAGATTAAATAAATAACGATTTACTTCTTATTATTATTCGTAATGATATCCTCTAGACTGAAAGGCTAGGATCTAGAGACAAGAATTCACCTGTATATGTGTCTGTCTGTAAAAAAATTACCATATGGTAACTATCGTGCAAATAACCATTTGGTAGCTATCATATAAATTACTGCGTGAGATGACAAAAAAAAATGGCACATATGCATTAGGATTCAAATTAGCCGAGCAGTAATATTTCAGAATGAAAAATACGAAATCTGTATACATAGTGAAACAATCGTTTGCACTCGGTATTTCATCAATATACGACTATGTTGTGGTTTATTACGTCCTTCAATATTATGATGATATTTCTCCGTATCACATACGAAGAAATACGATCGTTTATAGCTACATAATGAATAAAGCGGAAATTGTATATTATCTTCATGTAAGAACTTCGTAAATGATCGTATTTCTCTATATATGACATGAAGAAATATGATCGTAATACTGAGTCATGTAATATGTCAATCTACGACAATTTACGGTTGTTTACAAGTGCATTTGTTCGATTTGAGATGTTTTTAAAAATGATGATCATTGTTATTAAACTATTGAATGATTCGATTGATTGTTCAATGATATACACATGAAGATAAGATGTAATAATTATTAAAAGAGTTAGAGAGTAAGTCTGAATATAATATCACATTATTTGGATAATGTGATATTAATGTTTTTTTTTTTGCAATAGAAATAGCACTAATATAACTAATTGTAAATGATTGTATTGATTTTTATGCTATTTTTATACATATATATATAAATAACACTCGTTTTATTTCATACATGAAGAAGACGACATAGAACAATATAAATGATAAAAAACTGGAAGATTTTTAATTCCAAGTTTTTTTTGTTTATTGAAAATATTGAAATTTCAAGCATAAAATCTCTAAAATCAAAATACTACTATTTGTGATTGCATATCATTCATAGAAATATACTAATTCGAAATAGATCAATGTATGACTAAAAAAAATTTTTTTTTTCATTCATAGTATTTAATTATCATTTGAGATTAAAAATAAAGTTTTGAGAACAAAAATGAATATAGCCACAACAGTGTAATAATAATAAAAAATTGACAAAATTTCTGTTGAAAAACCGATAACACTGCACATATAAACTGAACTTCATTAAACAAAATGTAGTATATTCAAAATCGACTTTGTGACACAAATCTTGCCATAGGTCAAATCGTCTCTCATATTAATCTAGTACTTTACTTAATGCATGTTTATACTTAGATGTGTTTATATGCACATCTCAACTTCATCAGTCTAGGGCTAAGTAATTCGAGTTGCAATGAATGTTATTTATTTATTATTTCACTGAAAAGAACATTTCTAAAAAGAAAAACTATATATGTACATGAGGTCATTCCTAGTTTCCATGTCCGACACTTGAGAAGAATGGTTTTTTTTTCAAGAAAATAATTCTATTAATATGATACAATAAGTGCATAATCAAGCAATGATGATTAGATGTTAGAAAATTGCTAGCTTAACAAAAAAACAAATATTTTGCATTATCTGTTCTTCTGTCATTAATATTAAATATTTCTTACAGTTATTATTACATTTCAACAGCAATGAGTAACTAGATGAATAATGTTGCGTTTATATTAAATCCTGTCATAATTGTATTAGTAATTCTGAAAACGATAGTACCTATTCGACAAATAATATTAACTAAAATAAACAAGATGGCATAATAAAATTAATTGAGATTGGAATAACGTTTTGTAATTCTATAATAAAAAATATTATGAGTATATAAACAAAAAAAAAAAATTTGTTTATTGTTAATATGATTTGATTATGTGTTGAAGTTTACTGGATAACATAGATATGTTTAGATTGTTATTGTATATGCAAACAATAATAAGTTGACCATATTTATTTTTCTCAATAGAATATATATATTTCAATAATATTTCTTTTATTTCTGGAATATAAGGACATTTAATAATTGGTAAAATTTCAATAGTTAATAAATCTAAATAAATTGTTTCTTTATGGAATGCATATTATATATATATATATATATATATATATTTAGCTCGGAGGCATTGAATGATTGATGAAAGTTTTTCAAAAAAATGTTATTTTTAAATTATTTATTCTGATGAGCAGCGGATTTGATGTGGGCGGTTTTTAAAAGGAAGGATGAGTTATACTATATATATTTTTTATAATTATAATATTAGAACATAATGAATGGTTGTAAGTACTAATGAAATTGAAAGTTAAATTTGTAGTCTATATACTACCATCGATAGTATATGATGCATAATTATTCGTGGTAAATTTTTTCATAATAAAAAAAACACTAAAATTTTTTTATTTGTGATGTTTAATATGATTTTATTTTGTGAAATCTTATCTAAATCAATTAGTTCATCTTGTTTATAAAGATTTATTCCGATATTATAGTTTTTTTCTAAAAGAAATTTTTTTAAAATTAATTTGCACATTCCAAACTCAACTGAATTCTTATATCGATTGTAACATATATTAACTTCGTCTTAGTAGAGATGACTTAATTATTATCTAATATTAATGTTCGTTTTCCAAAAACAATTTTTCATTTTACTGTTATTTTTTCTCATGCTTAATTACGAAAATAGTAATTTTTATCGAACAAGAATGAATCAATGTCATGTGATCCATACGAATTTTATGAGTAATATACTTCTACAAATAACATTGATATTTTGCTAGTTTTATTTAATTAAGAATAAAATTATTTATGAGTAGTGACATATTTTTTATGTCTAAAGATGCCGCTTTTGAGAAATTTAAAATAAATGTTGGTTTTAGTTTGTTAATTCTCTCCAATCATGATCGAAATAAAAACAATACCTAATGATATATATATATGATAATTATCAACTATTAATATAATATATTTTTACTTATTCCTTAACATGCTTTTGTTTCTTCTTCGTCAACCAGAAGCAAAAGCACTGTTAACTTTTGTTTCTTCAATTGTTATTTTAATTCTTTCGGCTAATTCCATTCTTATTCCAACTTGTATTTGGACATGGATATCTTCGAGTTTAATATATATTATCCTCTACTTTATTTTTGTTATTGTACTTATGCGATGGTTTGCTCGTGGTGGACAATATTTAAATATTTATACAACTAAATTAGATGGACAAACATTTTTAATTACTGGTGCTGCTGGTGGTATCGGTAGAGCAACAGCAATTGAATTAGTAAAACGTGGTGCTCGAGTTATACTTTTTGCTCGTTTTCAAAATCTAACTAATGCTATTAATGATGTAAGAAAATTTAGTCAATTACCAAATAATGTTATCGGTTATCCAATTGACTTAGCTGATTTACAATCAATAAAAACATGTGTTGAAGAATTTATGAAAAATGAAAATGAGTAAAAAAAAAACTTTTTTTTTCTTCTATCATCATATAGTTTTTGTTTTGTTTTCTTATATATTGTTAATTAGAAATACAAAAATTACAGCATTGATTAATAATGCCGGTGTTATGGCATGTCCATATACAAAAACTAAAGATGGTTTTGAATTACAAATGGGTACAAATCATTTTGGTCATTTTTATTTTACACAACTTCTTTTACCTCGTCTTCATTCATCACGTATTATTAATGTTTCTTCGGCTGGCCATTTTATGTGGCCAGTACCTTGTGATGCATTACATTATGAACAAATGTGTAATCCAAATACATATAATCCATGGTCGGCTTATTCATTAAGTAAAACAGCAAATATTTTATTTACACGTGAACTTCAACGACGTTATTCTATATCGCATAATATTTGTGCTTATTCATTACATCCTGGAACTGTCAATACACCATTAGATCGACATTTACATTTGCATGATTTGATGCGTAAATTAAGCAAACCAATAAGATATATAATTTTTAAATCACCATTAGAAGGAGCACAAACAATTCTTTATTGTGCATTATCAAATAAAGCTAGACCAGGTGAATATCATGCTGATTGTCAACCAACACCAGTATGTCATAAATATGCAAAAGATGATAAATTAGCTCGAGTATGGTGGGATTATTCAGAGAACATTATCAATGAAAAACTCAAAGAAATTTAACAAAAAACAAGAAAATAAAATATATCTATTGACTAATAGAATTGAAGAGAGAAAGTTTATGTGATTATTTGTTCTACGTTTGATGTAATTTCATTTGCATTTAAGATTTATTATTCCAATAGGCTTGCCCAATTTATTAATAATAAATTATTACATTTATAAATATAAGATATAATCTAAAGACAGCGAAAAAGAATATACAAACATCATGTTTTATTGTTTATCAAATGATCTTCTATGAAGACACAGAAAAAAAAGTCATTAAAATAATCCTATTCTTGGCTTTTATTGTTCTTGGAAAGTTCATGAAATCACATGTATTGTATATACAATTCTGGACAAAAGTAGTTACTCTCCATGAAGTGCTACTATTCTTTATGATATTGAGTTGATATTTTGAATGCATGCCATGTGACAATAAATCCTGATGCCAAGTACCAACCCACTCTCCGTTGATTTGTATGTACTGAAGTTATGATTCAAACATCATCTTACTCTTGTGATCACCGTATCTCAAACCATGTTGTCATAAATATTTTCTTCCAACCGCTCATTCGAAAGGCCACTATCGTAACTAATACTAATCCAAATTTTGTTAAAAATCATTTTAATATAACTGAGATATTTTCTTCTCATTAAGAATATCTGTTGAATAGTAAATGATGGTATTTCTAATAACATGGATCTTTTCCACGATGACTTTGATCGATTCTTTTGAAAAGTTTAGTAGAAAGCTCCAATCAGACAACAAATCTGTTGTAAAATTTTTAGAGCTGTAGTACTGAATCAAGTCGAGTTAATGCTACAACATGGGTTTACTATCTCAGAATGTACTAATTACTAAGATCTTGACTATGTATCACGCACATTGTTGATATTAAAGTTGACATATAGGACTGCCTTTAGCGCTAGCAAAAAATATTAGTAGCTTGTGAAGTAGCAAAACGACAAACAGAAACTTTTTGAACATATATCTTCATTGAATTTTTTTTCAAAAGGAAAAGAGCATGTGTAAATCATAACTCTAGTACATGTGAATCGATGGAAGGTAGATTGCTACTTGCGATAGGAAATTATTGTCGCATTCATGCATCCAGAATAGTAGCACTTCATGAGGAACGACTACTTTTGGCCAAGATTGTACATATGTGAATAATTTGAGATTAGCCAATTTATTGTTGCTTACATATCAACGATGGTAATTGATTGACACTTAATCTTCGGGATCTTTTTATTTCATTTTCTTCCATTGTCAGTCAAACAAATGAATAAATATATCTGTTACTTCTTGCTCATACTTTCCTTCGTTAACGAATTATTTTTGAAATATCTGTTGATTGAAAAATCAATCTATAATTATTTGAGATAATAGAAATACTACATATTATTTACATCAATTCAATCATTGGAGAAAATGCGAATAGCTTTTTTTGCGTTTATTGTCATTATGTAGTTTCATATACAAATCATAGAATCGGTTACTAATAAAAATTAGTCTGATGACGGTTTACTCTCGATTCGTCCCAAATTAGTCAATTACACGGTTCTCCTCTTAAATGCTTTTCTCAATTCGTCTCTTACATAAATAGATCATTCTTAATTGATTCTCAACTCGTCCCTTCTCCATTCGTTCCTAGTTGGTTAGCAACAAGCAGTAGTGCTTTTGTATCGTAGAGCTTTATCAAAAAAAAAATTACAATACAGTATCAACAATAATGAAGTATAAATTTCTATTGTCACTTTTTGAACAGCCGTGTCTTGATAGTAGGACCACATTGTATAGCCAATTGAACGTCACTTAATTGTTTGTTCTTGTGTTCTCTATACAGCATAGCAAGTTTAATATCAGTTTGATCGTAAATTTTCTTACGTCTTCGTAGTTGAATCTGACTCTCTTCAGCAACATGATGGTGGTATTCATGTTTCATGCGTAATGTATGCATAAGAGAAAACAAAAAGAGAAAAAAAATTAAATATCGTACGATATATGACTATACGATCATTATACAGCAGCCAGCATGGAAGAAACAAATTGAGAATCAATTAAGAACGATTTATTTATGCAAGGGACGAATTGAGAGGATCCCTCTGATGACCATACTACCAATCAATAATTAGTTCATCTTTCATGATAAAATGTCAACAGATAGAAATTTTACTAACGTGATCAAGGTCATTAGCGAATTATTTTAAAAACTTTAAAATGATCTATTTGAATAAATGAATTTGATGATAAAACTTGTTTATAATTCTTTTCATTTGTTTGAAAAACGATCGGAATACTTTCACGTACTAATGTATTAGAATATGTTTTTTTTAGTTATATAATCTTAACTTTTGCTTTTTTTACTTTCATGTGAACATTGACTATGTTCGTCACTTGGAAAGTGTCTGTTTAATTCTTCAGTTATTTTAATATCGTTCTGTTCAAGTATTACTATTTGTTACAAACCATAGAATTTTATTTTGTCGAAAACAAATATCGAATGTTAATCGATTATGTTTTCGCTGATAGATAAAAATCAATCACTTGAGAATGTGAGTGTGGTTAAAGAGAAAATCTACACACCCACACCCTAATATTCACTCTTAAATCGAGCTACCTACACTGATCCTCTAGCTATACCTATTGTCGCATGCTTTCCTAATCTTGTCATGTTTTTCTCTCTCCTCCATTCCCTCATATCGCATTGCGGACTTTTGCTAATGTTCGGCTACTTTTGTCTCTCTCCGCGATTCTACTTTGCGAGCATTTCTTTCCTGTAATTAAGACAAAATGTTCGCAATCAAGAAGACACGAATAAATTGCATGCAATATATCGTCCGTAATTATGTACAATATCTGAATCTTGTCGATAAATCATTGTCTTAAATAATGATAATTAAAAGTGAACGAATAAAAAAAATAAAAAATAAAAAAGACCGATAGAATGTAGTACCAGATTTAATGTAATCTAGAACGCTTGATAGATATTGTTGATAATCTAAATATCCATTACTGTTTCGATAATTAAAAAAAAAAAGTACGATAAATAATCAACCATGGTTTAAATTTTCTATTCAACATAATAATAATTTAGATAATTTACACTGATTGATTTGGATATGACTAAAGTATAATCTGGTAACATAAAAAAAATTAGATGAACACAAAAACCAGTACAATTTTCGAGTAGAAAAGCAAGTTGAAAAGCAAAAATCTCATAATTATTTGCGTTTTTAACAACTTACACCTCAATAATAGTACATCGCATGTCATAATGACTGTAGTTCGAAGCGTAAAATTTTTGTAACTGTAATTTTTCAACTTACATTACATTTCACAGCAGACTGTCTTAGCTGGATAACTACTCTATCATACGCGGCGGAGACATGAGGCTTGACTAGGCTGAAGCCTATCCTAGATTCAAGTATCTTAGAGTAATATAAACTCAAATATCTGTTTCTCATTCCATTGGATGAATAGATTTATGCAGTGCATTGAAATTCTTATACGAATATCAAAGTTTTTCACTGCCTTCAATAACAGATAGTAACATTTTTGTAGTAAAACAGGCTTAAAACATGCCGTCAAGAAAACATTTAATTTTGTATGACTAAATGCTAGATTTTACATTGCCAATGACTTGAAGCAGCATCCCTTCGTGTCTAGTGAAGAAAAATTGTACGGGAAACTCGAGTTAGATAAACTACAAACTGCCAAAAGTTTTCTTCGCCTTCAGTTGGTAAAGTTACATACCTAAGAAACATTTAATAAATTCACAATGCGAACACTGCTATTTCACTATTGTTCTATTTTTCAGTAAAGTAGATCGACAGCTCTTCTTTCGACATTCGAAATTAAATAAAAACAAGTACTGGCGCGTTTCTTTAAGTGCACGTCTTTTGACATAAGTTACGAATTTTTGCTGAACCATATCAACTCTATACAGTCTAATATGTGACTGGAAAATAAGAACTACTCACTATATCTTATGTAAATGGTATAAATAGATTTACTCACTCTCTCCCTTTGGAGGAGGTCTTGTAAAGATTACTGAGCTTATTCTAGATTTAAAACATTTCACCGCTTATTCAAACTCAAATGTAGGATTGACTTCAGATTTAGTAGTCACACCCTTATTGATAAAGTTACATTATACTTTAATGAACATCAAAATGATGTGTCGAAGATAAAAACAATTGAATCAATAAATTTGAAAGATGTGTTGTTAAACAGAACACTCATATACGTAAAGTTTAATGAATTCAGAAAACATAAATAATAATATCCTGGTAATAAAACAAATTGTCCGATTGACTTTTTCAATGTATAAAATTTTTGTAATGTTCTTTTCCTATCTGTAGAGAAAGAGAGGACGTTAGTAGTCATCAATTCTTAGTCAATATATTTGCTCGTTCGTTCATTATTCATCCACCCACATAGAAGTTACTCATCATGCACATATATATATATTTTTTTTCTGTGGTTTTTTTATCTTGTTTATTTTTCGATGTAATGGAATTATTCGAGGATGTTATGCGAGAGTATCAAAATAATTCATTGCGATCAAGACCTCAATCAAATAAATCCAAATTTACTTGTTTTCCATTCTCGGTATTTCTTTTGCTAATCTTCTTTTTTTTTTATGTTCTTATTCTCCTATCTATTTTTTTTTACTCAGGTTTCTCGTATGACAAATCGTATTGTTCATCATCTATTTCGTCGAAATAAACGTCGTTCTTTTAAAAGTAAATTTTATTTTAATAATTAATATTCCATTATTGATCTATCTTATTTTCTTTAGCAAATAAACAATATAATCAATTAACAACTAATATGGATTCATATCAATATACACCATCCAATAATGAACTTCAACAACTTCTCTATACTTAATCATTTTATTTTTTATTTTTTTGTAAAAAGAAAAATCAAGAACAGTTTTCTTTTTCTTTTTTTATTTCTTTTTATTTCACCGTGATTAATTGTTTCAAGTCAGATTCATTCTTTTTTTTATTTTTTTCATTTTTTCAGAGAATAATGATGTCCATACCATTTATGGATCAATCAGTAACATCTATAACATCATCATCAACAACATTTTTTGATCCTATAACACGATATCAAACAAATTCTTCTAATTCTACAAATTCATTACCAGTATGGAAATCATATTTATATAATTTACAAATGCAAGCACCAAAACCAAGTCCAATTATATGTCGAATATTACAATTACGTCGTCCAAGACAATATGGTTTAGAATTTCATGGTCTTCTATCACGTACAGATGCTGATCAATTAATGTCAATATCTATTGATGGTTCATATCTTGTTCGTGAATCATTAAATCCACCTGATTCATATACATTAGCTATTAAATTTAATGGTGAAGTTAAAAATTATAAATTATATTTTGATTCTCAAACATCAACACATTATGTTGGAGAAAAACATTTTGATACATTAAATGATCTTGTACATGATGGTTTAATATCATTTTATTTAGAATCAAAAGCAAGTGATTATATTGCTTTAATGGCATGTGATTCACAATGTTATACTAATGAAAGTCCATATGGACAATATAAAGCACAATTATTACATCGAGCACAAACACAAAATAATACATTTAATCAAGTAAAAACTATTTTTGTTTTGAATATAAAAAGAAATTTTTATTTAATTAATTAATTAATAAATTTTTTTTTTGATCAAGGAAACATCATCATTGACAAATAATGAAATAAATCATTCTCAAACAACAAATATAGATCAAATAGCATCTAATTATCGTTCATCTTCAACAAGTAATTCATCTATAATACAACAGCATTCATCATCAAGAATATCTCCAACAAAAAATAATAATAATAATTCAAATCGAAAATTACCATCAACAAATCCATTATTTTTTGATCGTATACTTTTAATGCAAGCTGAAAAAGCACATAATTTTAAAATACATTCATTTAAAGGACCACATTGGTGTGATTATTGTGCAAATTTTCTTTGGGGCCTTGTACAACAAGGTGTTAAATGTGCTGATTGTGGTTTTGAAGCACATAAACGTTGTTCAGAAAAAGTACCACAAGATTGTGTAAGTTATTTCAACATTCTATCATAGATCGAAAAAAACAAACAAAATTGACATCTATAGTTTTATCATAGAAATAATTGTTATATAGGATTTTACTAATAATACGTTATTCAAAAAATTTTAGACACATTATAATACTATGTAAGTTATGTCCGATATATATGCATCATTTAATTATTTATTATCCTTTTTGCAATTGTAAGTTGTTATATGAATGATGAAAAGAAACTTTTTATTACTAATATTCGAGTCAAAATGAAAGAGAAGTGAGTTTAGTTGCGATAGCTTGATAATGACAGCAAGTAGTGATTTGTGATTTTCAGCAATCGAAAGAGAAAAACTTCGAATGTCTTTTTGTCTGATAGAATATAAGATAGAATTATTTTAAAACCTATCATCTTCGAAAAATATATGAAAATTGTGTTTCGTTTCAAGGAAATTTTAATAAAAAATTAGAAAATTTGTTGAAAACCAAAGAAATTCTATGTGATTTAACCGAATAGATTGGCAATTATATTTTCTCAATATTGAAATATGAAAACATTTTCATGTGCTTTGTGCCTTGAACTATAGATTTGAAGTTCCTCTATTTGACAAAGAGGTCAAAGTCAAAACTACATCGAAATGAAATACTGTTTCGATGTAATTTTGGTTGTTTTGTCTAGATGATGATTTTTAGAATAATTTGGCCTTATATGGTATCAGACCAAAAAGTCATCCTGAGTTCTTTTCTTTCGATTGCGAAAAACTGTAGATCGATAGTTATTACCATTGTTGAGTGTTTGAGCTTAATCTTATCCATCTTCAATTCGGACGAGAATATTAGTTATTATTGATTTCATCATGAAACTAACCAACATTACATGTAAATTTAAAGATATCTTTTTTAATAAACTATTGATTCTTTTAACTGAATGTTTACTTTTTTCAAAGAATATTTAGCAATGATACAGTGTAATGTTCATAGATGATTTATTTATCTTTATATTTAAGAAATGTATAGTTCAGTTTTAGAATTTCAATATGAACTTTTTTCATTAAATGTTATTTTAAATAAAAGATCATTTGAAAAGTTAGTTAATTGAATTTATTTTTTATTTAGGTACCACATATGAAATATTTAAAATCAATTTTTGGTGTTGATTTGACAACGCTAATTAAAGCTACAACACCAGCTTCATCAGTAACTTCATTAACACCAGTTGTACTTGAAAAATGTATTAATGAAATTGAATCACGTCCACATGCACTTGATACTGAAGGTCTTTATCGAATTGCAGGATTTTCTGATACTATCGAAGAAATTAAATTAGCATTTGAACGTGATTGTGCTCATGTTGATCTATCTCAAGAACGTTATCCTGATATTCATGCAATAGCTTGTGTATTAAAATTATATTTAAGACAATTACCTATTCCACTTGTTACTTTTGATATTCAAACACAATTACTTGAACTTCGTCCATCAACAATATGTGTAACAACAATTCGTACAATAATTCGTCGTTTACCACCAGCACATTTTTATACATTAAAATATTTATGTGAACATCTATTAAAAGTTTCTCAGCATTCAATCCGTAATCAAATGATAATAGAAAATTTAGCTATTGTTTTTGCTCCAACAATAATGCGTTCAGAAAATCCTGATCCAATGGTTGGATTAAAAAATTCCAAATCAATTCAACGCTTACTTGAAATACTTATTGAACAAGTACATGATATATTTTCTCCATAGAAAAAAAAAACCCTTTTTGTTTTTTCATTGTATATAGAATCTTATTAATTATAAGTCATATTTGTAAGTGTTTCTCAGATATCACTTGTTTTTTGTATATTTCTGGAATGATACTAATGTATATTTCTTGCAATAATATTTGTCAAATATTTATATGAAAAATAAATAAATCATTATTAGAAATAATGTGTAAAATTGACATAAATTAATCATAGTTTTCGATAAAGAAATGCTTGCATGTCATAGCTTTGTCTAGTTATTGAGTCGTTTTTGCAAAAATTTTGAATATTTGCCTGAAAATTGTCTGGCGAACTCTTACAGATAGATTTTTTTAATTGCCAGACAATTTGTATTTCACTATCTGCCAAATTTTACAATTCTCTCATTCTCATAAAATATAGAGACAGGTGACATAAATAAAAAATAAAAGAAAGAATATCATCAACAGTTATTATGCATAAGTAAAAAACATGTACTCAGGTGACAAGGTATGCATCAACTATTACCTGCTGTCTATCAGGTGTCTTCATCAGTTTGTTTTTCTTGGAGTAATATTTATGTAGGGTGTCCAGTAAGACATGAAAAAGACACACTAAAAATTGAATATCTCCATTATAACTCGACCAAACGGGTTCATTTTTTTACCAAGGATAGAGGCATGTTCACACTCTAAATTTATAAGAACAAGGTCAGTGAGAATCTTTGTTAAATATCACTATTGACCTCAACAAGAAAATTTTACTTGTTCACAGATAGGAAAAAAAAACAATATGCTCACCATAGGTTCTCACTAATCTCGCCCATACGAATTTGGAGTGTGAACATGCCTCTATCTTTGGTAAGAAAATCAACTCGTTTTCTCGAACCGTAATGAAGATATTCAATTTTCTTTTCTGATAAAGTAACTTACCCATCAATTCTAGTCGTGTTGAATAGATATATCTAGTATCTATTTAAGAATATAATAATCACAGATTCAATGGGTTTCTATTGCTAAGTAGGTAATACAGACTTACCCTATATTTCCGTATAGTGAAAAAGTGACACGTTGTGGTCAACATTTCTCACCCAAGCAGAATTTGAGAGCGTGTCGGATTATTATACAGTGAGGTACTAGCTCTAGTCTATTAGCCAATATATTTAGTTTGTCCTGCTACTTTAGGTTTCTTGAAATTGAGTACGGTAAAAAGTCCATTTTTCGCATGAACCATCCCATAGGAGATCGAGACAAACAATAAAAAACAACCATCGAATTCGATGAAACTTTCAGCGTTTGTAGAGCTTTCAATTATAAGTATTTTGATAAAAAAAATTTTTTGCTTTTAAAAGATTTTACTTTCAGGAAGATAGACTCAAAATACTTTAAGCAGAAAAATCGAAGAAGACAATTTTTAGCATGATTTTGACAGACGATTTTTGGTAGTTTACTGCATTGAAACAAGATCAAAAATAAAATCTAAGACTATATCCGGATTCCTCGTTAAAAGACGAATCGAATCATACCAATATTGACTTTAATTTTAAAAATAATGGCATCTCATATATTATCTGACTACTTATCGATCGTACAATATTCGGAACCTTTATTTATTCTGAAACGCTAAGGGTGTAGGTGTGGGATGTAGATTTACTCTTCACCCACACCCACCGTCACAATTAATTGCTATTCACGATTATATTTCAATAGAGATAATTTCTGATATAACGACATTTTCATTTACTAGTTTTGTAACAATTGATTCTGTAATGTTTATTTTAACAAATTTTTATAAATATATAACATAAATACAAACTAGAAGGCAACTTATTTGTGTAAGCACGAATATTTGAATTTTTATTTAATCGTTTTCTATTGTCTTAATTAAAATCTACAACCATTCCAATATTGTCCCAAATTCTATGTGTCTAGTAATGATACATGTGCTTGTCTCAGTTATTTATGTGCAACAATCACATCAACTATGTCTACATTTATAGTGAAAACATGTTTGTATGAATCTCTCTTGTTTTAATAGTAAAAGAAAAATTTTAATTCCTCCTATTGATAAGCCGTTGATCGAAACGATCACTACTTTAACTCTTCTGAATGAACTTGTTGTATCATATAGTTTATACTTATATTGTTTCTGATTTGTACATCAGGTATCTTATTTCTATTTATAACAATTTCAAACATTTTTAGTCCAAGATTTCTTTTCTTTTTATTTTAAAAGAAGAATGACATTTGACATTTTTTTGTATAATATGTTTATCGTTGAATTATTGTTTCCTCATCAGTGTTACTATTACTTGCAGTTGTTGCTCTACTTGCAGTTGCTACTCGACTAATAATTGCTGCTTTCGGCTGAACACGTCGTTCAATAAGTGTAATGATTTGATTAATTTGATAATAAAGATCACGATAATTTTGTCTTAATGGATCACATAAAATAAGTTCATGGGATAATCTTCTTGCTCGCATCCATGCTCTACGTTGAATAGCATTAAATAAAGGAAACATAAGTGCATCAGGTGGTGTATACGGTAATAATTTTGGAAGAACTGGTGGAGGTTTTCGTGTTTTTATCATTGGCTTTTCGGCTTCAGTTCTACTTCGACTTGAAACTGTGGTTGACTAAAATAAAATATATGATTAAATAATAAATATTAAAATACATATCCTACCTCTTTGTTAACTGTTAATATAGAAGAATCGAGACTAACACGAGTTTCTTGTTTCTTTTTACTAGACATTATTGAATTGAAATATAGGGACATGATTAAACAATTTATATAAATATAAACTCTTGCATGATAGAAAAGTCGGTTTTAATTTGCAAACAAAAGTTTCAGAAAATTGTTTGTTAAACGAGATCATAAAACATGAAAAATAGAGATTAGCAATCCTATTGATCAAATGTTTATATTGACAACTGAACGTGTCCGCTCGTTGACTTGGCTAAAAAAAAAGAAACGAAATGGCCCTTCACTAATACTCTAATTATACTAACGAGTGAACTATAAAGCATGGAATATCTTTCATTTCTTTGCTTGAGTAGTGCAAACATAGTTCAGAAACTTCGTTTTTGCTTCACAAAATTAAGTAAGTGGTAAATGAAGATAGTTTCTTCTTTTACAAAAAAAAAACATAAAAAATGAACACATACAAAATGTTATACTGCGTTTATATGAACAACGATTAAGTAACCAATAGATTTTGAAACGACTTGTTGGTGAAATCGGAAAATCAACGATCTACAGATGGATCAAAACATCTAAAGAATTAGGTGCAATATATTTGAAAACAATAAGTACAGATCAGTACTGAACAAAAAGAGTGATTCATTGAGTGAATCATCATCGTCCTCACATCAAAAAGAAAACATCGACAAGACAATTCGCTAAAATGCATCATGTCTCGAGGTCAACTATGGAGAGAATAATGAAAAGTGATTTGGGTTCAAATCATTTGTAGAACATGTTACTTCGAAATTAACGAATGCATAAAAGCAAAAAAGATTCTTGTTTGACATATTAGGTTAGAAAAAATGTCACAAAATCTTTATCCAGGAAAATCTTGCTTTTTGGCGAAAAACAATTTAATATCAATAGTGTATACAGCCGTCAAAATCATAGAATATAGGCTTCGATTCGTCAGCAAGCTGATGCAAATGAAGAAATCCGTCGGAAAACAAAATTTTCTCTTCGTATGATTAGGAGCGTGTGGCCATGGCGTAACGCGTCCTGTGATTATCAAGGAAAATACGATCAACCATCAATGTTATATTGATGAAATATTACCAATCACATTGTATGATAGCCAGAAGTTGATGGGAAAGGAATTCATATTTTAGCAAAATGGAACACGGCCACACACTGATTATCATGCTCCAACATATTCCGAACATCATTTCTGGAATTTTTGGCCAACATTACGATAGCTGCCGAACAGTCCCAATCTTAATCCCCTCGATTACTCAATCTGAGACGAATTGTGTGGCCAGACGGACTAGGACAAAGTTACCAATAAAAAAACTTCAATTGATTGAATTCGTGCTGATGCAAAAAAAAGGTTCGAAAATTAACTAATGATTAAATTCCTTATCGACTAATCTAATGAAATCTCGTCTTCAAAATCATTTGATGTATTCAATACAAAATCCATTGAAAAAAGGCAAATTATAATTATGAAGATACTCTATAGGGTACAAATAAAGCTTGAGATTTATTTTTCACTTGAAAGTAAAGAAATTTTTATTGAGATAATCAAATCATATTTTATTTCTATAGGTAATTATTCCTAGTTATTGTACATTTGCTGGTATTGGTTGTTATGCAAATCATATTCATTTAACACATCATCTAAAAGATAAACAATAAATTCATGGAACAACTGATAATGAAGAATAGAAATGACGATGATACTGTTCATGAGAATGAAATTTTCTTCACAAGTACGAAAACATCTTGAAAGAATTCATGGTCATGGATAAATGACATTGGTATTTCTCTTTAGAAATCTTTGTCAATAGTTTATTTGGACTCATATCATTTATTCAAATGAGATAAGCATACTTATTAGTGAGAATTTTCGATTGTTATCTTTATATTATATTTGTATCAACACATGAATTATAATATTGTTTTTTGGAATATTATCAAATAATTGAAGGAATATTTTTATTATCTTTCATTGAGAAACTAAGCTAAATAGTTTAATATAACTGCTAGGATGAACATAGTAAATTTATCCTTCAATATTCTGCTAAGCAAATTGCAGATTATATAGACTATGAGAGTACAATGGTAGTTGAACTCACAGACATATGAATATTCCTTAACTAATTTTAATTCAAGACAACAGATAAATATAATATAATTTGATCGATATAATAAAAGATACAAAAAAAAACACGTTACGATATACATCTACTCTGTTAAGAACTACTAAATCAATTATCTTTTTACATGGATAAATGAGTTTGTCTAAATACATGGTTATCAATTAGTCTATATTATTTGTTTTTCGGCATTCTCTTATTTGAAAATGTCAAATGTAAAATTTTCTCAAAGCAAGCAGTAGCTTTATCTTCATGGACTTCGTTATCAACGTTCAAGTCAATTTGATCATTATGCTCTTTGTCGAAAGTCGTATCGCAGAAATTTGATAATTTGCATTTCGGCGATCTTCATTTCAATAACCGAACTTATCGGCGATATTGTGAGATGATACCTGTAGTATATGTGTGCGACTCGATATGATAAATATTCAAAAAGAGTGAATGTAAGCAATGATCGTCGAAAGCTAAGTGATCTAGATGAAGCTTACAAACATAGATGATTGAAAAGCATTCGGCGATCTTCATTTTTGATAAACTTCATGTCGATGATCTCTATTTCGATGATGTTCATTTCGACGAATGTTCTTCTTGGTAATGTTCGGATCGATGCGAGTGTTGGCGATGAGATACACAATCGATGGGCTTGTGAAGTTAATAAAAAAGTACATTTCATTTAGTAGCAAGACATATTTTAAAAGAGCAACAGTTTTACTCGATTTCTGATGTTAACAAATATTTTGTGTAAAAAAATTGAAATTACATATTTTTCTTTAAGTTGAGATCAAACATCAAGAATTCAACTTTTGTATCACCATATTAAGTTACGAATGGAGAACGATATATATTATTTGAGAAACTAATTAAAAACATATCTCATTTATTTTGATAAGATTTCTTTTTAAAAAAATTTTTCTGTATTGTAATTTGCTTCATTAAAAAAACGAACTTTGCTTTTTTATCTTCTATTAAATTTTATTGATCTCAATAATAATTATTCGCATTTATTCAACCATTGATGAAAATTTTCATAACTCTTTTGTTTTTCATCTTCATATAATTTAATACATAAATTACAAAATAGATTATCAATAAAATAATTCGATGGCCATGCTATTAATCGATAATTAATACGCCATTGATGATAAGATTTGAATATATATAAATTTTTACTTATATTCATTAGTTCATCAGCAAGATCTGCTAATTCTTTAAAATTTTCAATATGAATAAATGAATTTGGTGGTAAAATATTTTTATAATTATTTTCATTTGATCCAAGTACAATGGGAATACTTCCATGTGCTAATGCATTATAAAACGCCTTTTCAGTAATATAATCTTGACAATTTGCATTTTCAAAAGCTAAATAAAACTTGTATTTAAAAAGTTTTTGTTCAAAATCTTCTGATGATATTAATTTTCTTTCATTATTTAATAATGAACATTTACCATATTGATCAATTGGAAAATATTTATTTAATTCAGCAGCTATTCTATGTCGTTTTGTTCGAGTTTTACAATTGGATACAATCCATAAAATTTTATTATTTCGATTTTTAAATTCATTATCTACATCAAATGTTGATTGATTATTTTTTCTTGATAAATAAAAATCATTTGTTTGATAATCACGAATTGTATATGATAAATTACGTGCAATATATCGACCATAATAATGTACAATATCTGAATCTTGTCGATAAGTCATTGTCCTAAATTGAAATAATAAAGAAAAAATAAATTTCAAAAACAAAAAAAAAATTAGCAAACCAATTGAATGTTAATTTAGATCGAGTATATTCTGGATGATTGATAGGTGCTTCCCATGACCAAAATATCCATCTTTGTTTGAATGATAATCGATCTTGATCAGTTAAATTAAAAGACCAGTAAAAATCTTCACCGAAAAAAAGTACCGCACGTGGTGAACGTTGTTTAAAGTCTTCTATTTGACATGAAAATTCACATTTTTTTGGACATTTTTCAAAATTAACAACATGTCCTTTATTTCGAGTACCTTTACAAATATTATCTCGTGTTTTAATTGAATGATTATGCGTATAAAGTAGAATGAGTGGTAATGATTGATTAAAATTTTTATAGTAAAATAATTGAGATTGATAAAAATAAAAACAAAATATAAAAACAATCATAATCAGGAAAATTTTATGTTTCCAACTATATAACAAAGATAAAAATCTTTTAGGATATACCATAGAATATCGAAAATTGAAGTATATAATTTCTATATAATGCTGCATATAGAATAAAAATATAAGATTTTTTTATCTTCAAATTGCTTGGTACACAAATAAAACAATCAAGATTAAAAAATTCATCATTGTTACTACATTGCTTTTTTGTAAGTCTACATTTTTTTTAACTCAAAAAAAGCAACAGAGAAAAGGAAGAAAAAAAAAGGGACATTTTCTTTTTTTTACTTGATGACTCAAGTGTATATTTGACGACTGTCTCGTTTTTCTTTTCAATTTTATTCAACCATTCAAGCAGCGGTAATACATGAAAAAAAAAAGAAATGAGACTTCTCTCCGAGTACTCATTCAATAGAATAAATTCTAAGAGTAAAAAGAATAAACAAATATATGTTATACAAATCGTCTATGAAACTTTATGCATAAATTTAAGAGAATTTAATGTGTTTTCAATTTAACTACTATACAATAAAACTACTCTGCGAAAGAGAACTGTCAGAACTTATTTGAAGGCTTTTTAAAAATAACTATGAGCATATAAACATGGACTTCAATCTATCGAATACAATCGTTCTTTCTAAGGGCTTCATTAGTTTATTCTCAGAATCCAAATGAAAAAAAGCTAAATTTATCGTAATCGGTTTCTGTTAGCTTTCTATACGTAGATGAAAAATAAAAAAAAGTTTGAGGCTTTACTGATCAATAATACATTTCAAATGTACGAAAAGAAATATATATTATTTTTTGATATACGTTCTTGTAATAAGAATCTTAACTTGCTCTATGATGAAGGTAAAATAAATAAAACGTAGAAAAAACTCATCTTAAGAAAAACATAATTGTCAAAATTCATTGGCAAACATTTGGACGTATATAAAATAGGCTTCACAGCAGCAATTAACATTTTATTAAGTATTTAGTAAATAAATAATACAGTAGAAATTTATATACTTAATAAGAATTCGAACTTTCGAATTTTTTAGACATCATTTTCAAGAGAAACATAACGCAGTTAGGATCGAATCAAAGAAAATGAAAAAAAAATACTCCATGTATATCTTCTATATGTCCTTGATCACTTTATGGCTCATCAAGAAGAAGATTCTATATGATTCAGGATTACCACTATTCTTTCTTGATCTTGAATTTAATTTTTTTCTTCTTCGTATTTGAACGGTCCGATCTAAAACCGATGTTGGCTTAACATGAATTGGAATTTAAACATCGAATAAATTACATGGATTGAAATATATTATATAAAGATAATTCTGTTTATAGATTGAGTATTAAGGAATCTTTAGCTATTATGGCTTTAAAACCAGACTTCAATGCAGCGGTTAGATCAACTCCATTAATTATATTCCCAGAAGGTCAAAATAGAAAGAAGAAAGTTAAATTCAAAATCAAGAAAGAATAGTGGTGGTCCTTCTGGATTACATAGAATCTTCTTCTTGACGAGCCATAAAGTGATCAAGGACATATAGAAGATATACATGTAGTATTTTTTTTTTCGTTTTCTTTGATTCGATCCTAAATGCGTTATGTTTCTCTTGAAAATGATGTCTAAAAAATTCGAAAGTTCGAATTCTTATTAAGTATATAAATTTCTACTGTATTATTTATTTACTAAATACTTAATAAAATGTTAATTGCTGCTGTGAAATCTATTTTCTATATAAGGAAAAAATATGTTTGCAAAAATTGAATGTGTAAACATTAACTACGCATTTTTTTATGGCAATAATACAAATTTTGAAGTTTTCTTGTATAAAGTTAAAAAAAAATAATAATCATGTTAATTTTCTATTCAATATATATTTTATTACAATCTGTAATATTATCAAACTATTTATTATTTCAAATAAACAATCAACGCTAAAATACCATAATGAACTTGAAAACATTATGATAGATAAATTACTTTCCTTATCATAAATATGAATGATTTATTAACATTTAAGTTAATAAATCTAAAATTTCATATTAATTTATTCATCTCTATGCGAAACAAATATTTATATTCGATAATAGTTTAGAGCATTAAATCCAGCAGTGATGTGAAGAGGTCAAAATAGAAGGACGTTGTTTCTAAGAATCGGATGAAACTCTAATCCAAATCAAAAGTATTTTGAGATAACTGAAATTTAGTGGACATAATATAAATTTTATTTTGCAGTTCGATATGCGCAAATTTGTTGTCGCTTTCAATAGACGTTTACATAAAAATCAAACTACGAGATTTGTTGGTAAATTTATACCAAATTCCAAACCATCTGCTGCGTAGCAAACATTAACGTAGACTCTCAAAAAATTCTTTTTTTTATTATAACTGTTTCTAATAGAAACATTTTTGCATTGAAATCAGAAAATTCTGAACTATTTTGTCAGAAAAATTCAAGATATTACAAAAAACACATAGGCTTTTTGCAGAAAGTAATCAAGCTTTTCAGTAAATTCAATCTTTATTTTATAAGTATAATATAGTTCCATCGAATTTTTGGTCTAATTTGTAGATTGTGTAAGTTTTCAATCTTTCATGCTAGATGACATCGTGAAAATTAAACTCACCTCGAGAAAAAAATTTCATATTTTCACTTGTAAAAGTTTCATTCAAAATAGAAAATTATCCACAATAAAATTCTGTAGAAATATCATTTTCAAATTTCTCAACAAATTCTTTCCCATCATACTTTCAAGGCTTTCATAAAAGACGTTATTTGCATAGGACTCTTCTTGTCTCGGTGAAAGACAGTAAACAGATTGTACGGCTAACATTAAGTTTTTGTATAATATTTTTCCATCTATACCATTTATATGTGATAATTGAGCAAAGATTTTATAATTCGAGATCAAAATCAAGTATTTTTGGTATCAAAAAAAATGAATCTTTTGACCTTAGTTAATCACTATGTTCTCTCAGATAAAATTAAAATTGTTAATAGTCGTATTGAAGTTCAAACTACAATTTAACATCAAGAGAATTTTTTAAAATTATTCTCAAGGTTATAAAACATTATTTTTTAGAGATCTTTGAGTTCTATATAGAATAGAATATGGGTTTGAATATTGTTTCTATTGAATTACTATAAATGATCATTCTCTTAACAAGAAAAACATCGGCAAAGATTCGACAGTCCTACACTGAAATGTTTAATCAAAACATTAAGTGAATGTTTTCAAGTATTAATTTATTATTTTGATTAACGTAACAAACAACATCAAAGAGCAGCTGAAACAACTTTTTTTAAACATTCTAATGAAACAAAAACAAAATTAATTTTATGTCCTAAATGTTTTTTTATTTGAAAGATTTTTAGTGCAGATTTAATTAATAATAAATTTGTTTTGTTTACATAGCTGTTAAAAGTGTACTTCCTCTTGAACGTGTCTGCGTCACTGATGATAAATTGTCATTTGATTGTATTCCCATATAGGTTAATAATTTTTCAAATAATTCTTTTGATGTTTCACGAAAATGTTGAAAACAAAGTAAATAAATAATTAAATTTCCATTAGAATTAATTATTTGCATAAAATTAGCAAATATATTCAATATATGTTGAATTCGACATCGAAAATAAAGATTTTCTTTTGATATATAATTATCTGTTGTTGGATATCGAGCTTCATAAATATGATTAATAAGCATTGGAAAACGACATAAAAGAAATAAAAGTACAACTGCTATAAGCATAACTGTTACATGACGATGTCGTCGAGAATAATTAAAATTTGTTCTTAAGTGTGCTATTTGTCGCACTGATATTGATAATAAACGACGATGTTCATCATGATATTGTATAAGTCGACGAACTGTTAAAATATTTATAAATATTAATGTAAGAAATGGTATAACATATACAATTGGTATAAAAATATAAATTTTAACTATTTCACGAAACATTTTTAGTTGACCAATAGATGTATCTGTAAAGTTTGATTAAATTAAAATAATAATAAAAACAACAAAAAAAAAGATGTAAGTTTTGTACTTACATGATTTTATATAAGAAGTTCGATTCGCAGTATCGATTTGTGTAATAACACGAAATTCAAACCAATGTGGTATCATAAAACTAATTGCAACTATTGTTAATAATAATATAATACGTAAAGCGTTTCGTATGGTACAATATTGACTAGCATTTAAACCCATTGAAACATATAAATAACGATCAACAGAAACAGCTACTGTATAATAAGTTATACATAATTGAAGAGTATACATTAATGGAATGGTGTATGGTGATAACCTATAAATATATATATAAAGCAAGGACATAATTAAATCGTGCATAAAACTCACTGATGGTACATTTCATTATAGAAACTGTGTACATTTTCTTGATTTTTTGAAATAAAATACGGAATAATAATAGTTAAACGAAGTGCGTAAAATATAAAGAATAAAATAAGCCAAAGAAGATTTACAGCTGCTAATGCAATTAAATATATATTAGTTGATAATACTTTCATACGTTTATTTGCTAATACAATTATTGAAAATGTATTACCTAATAAACCAAATATACATGTAACAACAGATGACCATCCTCCAACAATTAATCGAATAATTAATACAAAATCTTTATCTTCTTTAGTACATACAAGATTATATGTATTGTTCAATGTCATTTTTATAATCGATTGATGCACTCAAAAACACAATGAAATGCAAAATAATAAATAGGTAATAATTTCAGGTCATCTCCACCAGTGAAGTATGCCATAAAAAAAAATCATGATATTATCTCTGACATTATATTAAAGCTTATTTTATATCGTTATTGCTATCAGTAATGATCCATTAATAGCCGGTTAGACTTTAATCGTGTCTTTCATATCGATTAGTCATTTCTATATAAACAAAAATAAAGAAAAAAAATTTTATCATTGAATGATCGTTATTTTTATATAAAATAATACGCCATTCACTATGTAGAATCAATTCAGTAATATTATATTTATTGATTTTTTAAAATTATTGTTGCACTAGAATTCCAGGCTTGTCAACTTTAAAGATCTTGAAAATTTATTTAATAGAAAAAAAGATTCATAAATTTCAGCTAAAAAATTAATCAAATTCTTGAGTAGAATTTGTTCAAATTATGAAGTATTGATTTTTACTGTCATGGTAAGAAACTAATAAATTAATGAATTTCACAACGATCAAGACGTTATGAATCATAGGTTTTTTTAATTATTTTCAACTCATTATTTGATAATGAACTAAATCTCTTTATTTCAACATGAAAAATACTTATGATTTGTTCATAGGTTCAATAAGTACTACTCTCGAAGGCTAAACGAGCCCGCGATAGCTCAGTTGGTAGAGCGGAAGACTGTAGATGTATAATAACTGTAATCTTTAGGTCACTGGTTCGACTCCGGTTCGCGGGACTCATTTTTTTTTCTTTTCTTTCAAATAAATTATTCTTCATTGATGAATAATGGTATTAAATTTTTTTTTGTTCGTAAAAGAAAATAAATAGATACAACTAATATTGATTGATTATCATTAAATTTTTATTTTAATGGAAATTATTCGAATTGAATCTAAAAAAATAATTCAATATTTCAGGATTGTTTTCCTAATATTGCATCAAGTCAACGAGTATAACGATGAGAAGACGAACAATATATATATATATATTTGTTTTTTTCTCTATATTAACATATCTTGATTAACAGGTTTTTTTTCATTGATTGTTAAAATTAAATGTTGTATTGAATTAATTTTAGAATTATTGATATCTAATATTACTATAATATTTGTTTGGTTTATCAACTCGTTGATATTATTTTGAATTTTATCTAGAAAAACTAATATATGTCGAATATTTATTTTTATTGAAACACATACTTTTATTAAAAGAGATTTTTCGTTTTAATTGATTCTGTAGTATATCATAATTTAGACAATTTTATTTTTATTAGAATCATGTGACAATATGCAACCAGAAATATTGATGATTTTGATTGACTATATATAAAATGATTTCATGGAAGAATCACATCGACTGTATATGTATTATAATTTAAAGGAGCCATCTGACGAAATAATGGCAACAGGTGTAGTTAAATACATTTCGATTAGATACGATGCTGTTATTGCCTTATACATCCATAGAATGAAAAAAATTTGATCACATATGATATTCTATTATTTGAAGGAGTAAAATTATCTTCTAGGACATAATAACTTTTTTATTTAAATAGTTTATAATTTAAAATAGATTATTTTATACAATTCAATTAGAAAGTATATAAACAGCAGTTTCTATTGTAGATCTAATAGTTTATTCAAATGGTGTTGCAACCATCATACTCATTCAAGTATTAGGATTTACATAACTATTGATATATGGTATTATGATTTTATTCTTTATTTGTATTAGTATTGATGATCGTGTAGGTTTTGAATGAAATATTGCACATAATTTTGTCATTATAATCTATAGTTTTTAATTTATTGATGGCAATTAATAGAGAAAACTTAATTGAAATATCTAAGTCAGTTAAATATTTGACCTTGGGTCGTTCATTCTTAAAAGTAGATATAACAATCCCGCGATAGCTCAGTTGGTAGAGCGGAAGACTGTAGATGTATAACAACTGTAATCTTTAGGTCACTGGTTCGACTCCGGTTCGCGGGAGTATCTTTTTGTTTGTTTATTAGATAATGATACATCAAGAGAGTAAAGAATATTACATTGATACGAATAGATACTCATGAAATTATTAATGAAACATAACGTAATAACAAAGAAAATTTAAATTGAACAAGAACATAAGATATATAACAAGTAGAAATATGAGAATTTATTTTCAGTGCATCTCACTCACGAAGTGGTCTAGAATTTCAACGTTTCCATAAAAGATTTTTGTAATGTACATGGCTTGGATTATTTATTCGAAACGTAATAAATCTTTCAATTTTATACTTAACAAAATTTCAAAATTTATCGTTTAGAAACTGAAGTAGTATTAATAGTTTGTACAGCATCAATCATTTTCTTGATGCCTAACATTTGGGTACCTAATTTATTAGTATAATTAACAGAATTATAACCTCAACAATCAAAAACAACCATTTGGATTTTGAGGATTTCATGTTGATTGAATGACTTGTGGAAATAATACAATTATATTATTTAATTCAGCAACTTTCAAACGACCTGCTTTTTTAACAAATACATTACTAAGAAGTGATTTACCTAAGAAAAGAAAAACAATTAAATTATATAAAAGCAATAAAATGAAAAAGAAAACAAACTTTGTTTACATCCATGAAGAGCAACATGAATTGAATATTTTCTTTCATTATTACAACCTCATGGAAAATAAACATAACCTTGTGTATTAAAATTAAATCCAGCACTAGATGATAACATGCCAATGGTACCCGAAAGTGTAATACTTGAGAATGTAAATATACTTAAATTAAACGATGGTAAAAAATTCAATGGCTTATATAAAAACCATTGTTGCTTGCATCCAACTTGAACATAATGAAAAACTATCTGTAGCTCTTGAATCTGATCTAGTCACCACTGAAGGATTCATAAATGCTGCTTGTTTAGAAGTAATAAATTGTCCGGTAAGTGATATGGATATTTCACTTGATAGTTTAATAAGATCATCTTTATATAAATGATTTAATTTATCATAAGCGAAAGTAAAATTACTATTTCAAAAGAAATAAACAAAGTTTATTTAAATAATTCTCTTGTTTTTTCCTTTCTCTGTACATACCAATTATTAATAAAATTAGCTGAATAAAGTGCTGCACACTTTTCATCAAAATTTTTCTTTTGGAAAACCATGATTAGCTGGTAAGTCCTAGTTATTTTTTATGTTAGCACTCAATTCTGAATAAATTGGTTCATTACAGTACCCGCCATAAGTGGCCACGATTGAAAAAATGAACAAGACAAAGGAGTTATTTGGTTATAGTTTATTTATGAAATCTGCATTATATGTGCATCATTTTCATGTAAATTTTGTATTTTTTGTTGAACGTAAGTTCAATTTTGATTTCAATGCTGAAGAATGAAAGCGCGAAAGAATGGAAGAATCTAGAAGAAGTGAATGCGAACAATAACCGTCCTTTTCAAATAGAACAAGGAATATATATGTATATATGATGATAAGCGTATCACATATTATAATATGCAATAGAAAAGTTAATGCGCAAAAGAATAAAAAAAAGATCAAGGTCAATATCAATGTTTATTGACCGAGAGAGAATAGAAATGAATGTAGAGTATATAATGAAAGGAAACGGATGAACAATTTTCAACGATCAAGAAGAACCGAAGAAACAGACACATAACATAAAGAGAAAAAAAATAAACATCCACATATAATAGTTCATAAGGAAGAAGAAATCCTTAATACCTCATAATTAATATAATCGCTTTTTATTTCAATTAATGCTACTCTATTTTCCATAGAATCGCCTAATTTTCAGCAAATTCATTAGCTAAGTTTTCTCCATTCGTTTTTTTATTCTTTCAATAAAATTATTTATTGATATATACGGTTCTTTGTTTATTCCGAGTTCCATTAATGCTCAGACATTTTTACTTGGATCAGTCTTCGAATTTTATATTCTGCTGGAGTCTTTTTTAAAACATCGTCACTTGTTAGCAACGGTTTCGAAGTCGGTTTCATCGAATGTACACCAATCTCTTTAAATCTTCTTCTTAATGTGGTTTTACTAATTTTTATATCTTTCTATGATAATCTAAATGCAATTTGACCGACAGATTCGATTGAATGTTGAGCTATCATGAATTGAATCGTTGCGTATTTTTTTCCGGTATAGACCGGATTTTATGCAACTAATACGTCGTCACCTATTTCATACCTTTTAAGCCTACATTTTACAATTACTCACTGATTCGTATAGATACCGTGAAATATCACTATTTGACATATGTAAGGAATAGCTCTGTCTTTATAGAAAAGTAATTTCTCGTCTTTCCTTTAAAAAAAAAAGGTTCATTTTCTATTAAGTTATAAATTGATAACAGAATGAGTATAAATGTTCTTATTTATATCGGATGATAAGTATGACTAGTCCATTCAAACAAAGCAAAAAGATCAAAGAACGATCACTGTTAAACAACGAAAAGAGCTCGCGTCCACTTATGGCGGATACTGTAAATAAAAAAAACAGCAGGGACAGATTATGGAATTCAATCTAATGTCAAAACAAGAGGATAATTCGAATAGAAATGATTAGATAAAAAGTTGTTTTCTTATTAAGATGATGAAATGGTCGACAATGCTAATAATACAACATATGATGATAGTAGCCCAGATGAAACAATCCGACTATAAGATCTTGTATGATTCTTTCAAGATCATATAGAAACATACTGTATAATTTTACATGATCACACAAGATCGTATGAAAATCGTATACGATCTTGTACAATTTCATATGACAATCAAAAAGCCACCACCCAGGTCAAAAAATCAGACATCAGATCGGGTAAGATCAGGTGAAATCGTACAAAAAATCGTGATCTCAGAAATCTTACATTAAATTGCACTGTAAGATTCTTGACAGATCTTGTTGCCCTACCAGATCTTACTATAAGATTATAGAGAATCTAATGCGACGGTAGGATCTGACAAGAATCTTACAGTAAAAATTGATGTAAGATTTTTGAGACCACGATTTTTTGTACGATTTCATATGATCGTACAAGATTTAATGTCAGATTTTTTGACCTGGGTGGATATTTCTGATAATATCGTCCTGTACGATCTTTACGTCTGATAGTGCAAGATCTTAAATAATTCATGCATGATTTTCCAGAGCTTCATAGAGCATTGTATAGCTGATTTGACCCATTTCTGACTTCTATAATGCTTGAGGTTTTCAACATTGTATTTGATCTATAGTAACCCGTATATATATTTATTTATAAAAATTACAAAAAAAAACAAAAAAGACATAAATATTCACTTGTAATGCATAAGTAAAACACAAAATTATAGAAAAAAAAATTTCTTTTGAGTTTAACCGACTGAATGATCCAAATAAAAAATAATAATTTCAATCAAAAAAAGATTTACTTATATTAAATACGTCATTGATATGAGCTGAAATAAAAAAATAAAAAAATAATTGCAATTATACAACTAGTTACTGCGATGTAATTCAATCGTGAAAACTGGCCTAAAATGAAGAAATAAGTATAATTTAAATAAAAAAGAAACCTATTTCTAAATTAAATTGTCACGTATTATTTTAATCGTAAATAAATAACTCTAATAGCCTTGACTTTACTTTAATGAAAACAAAATGAACTATGTTAAGAATAATTCACTTCATGATACTATAACTAAAACGATGCTAACAGATTAAATCATTTTTTTTAAAATAAAATAAACACAATAGTTTTATTAGATTAAATTTATTTTAATTAAAATAAAAATAAAAGTAATATAATTCCATTCAATTCAATTCATTTCATTTTATATTTGTTGTAAATATATGATCCTTTTAGACTAATTTTAATCAACTGAACTAAATTATAATATTTATAATAAATGGAATTAGTTTTGTTTCACATCATTTAAACTAGATTTTAAAAAAAGCTTATATCATTAATTTGAATTAAAATAAATCAAAAAAAAAATTAAGAATAATAATCGACAAAATACAAAAAGAATTAATTAAGTTTGATAAGATTGTTTAATGTCTAAAACATAGAACTGAATTAATTTAGTATTATAAATGAATATGGAAGCATTTTTACCTCTATTCTGAAAAATAATACAATATACATTCTTCTTAAACCAATTAAAACTTAAAATCAATTTATAACAGTTCATCCTTCTTCATATAGTCTATTGTAATTATGATTGAATTATGAGTCCTCTACGTTGGAGACTTATAGATCGTAAATGCTGTACAAAAAAATCTTTTTTTTAATTCGAAAGAACGTGATGTTTAAATTAGACTGTTTTCAATCTATTGAATATTTATTTAAAATACATAAAACTATGATTATAGAGATTAATAGCATTAGAAAAACCTAAAAATATGATCTTACAAAACCTTATAAGATTCGGATCCTCAGATTTTGCAAGAATCTTATAGTAAGAATCGTGTAAGATTTACATTAGCATCTTACAGTAAGAAGCATACTAAATCTTAAAATAAGATATTTTACGGTTTCATAAGATCATACAGTATAAATTTTACAACATCCAATTATCGGTAAGAACTTGTACGATGTTCGTCAGATTTTTCCATCTGGGTCGATAAAAAGGTGATATTCTTCATCAGCTCGATGGGCTCTATCGGACATCCAAAAGCATAAAAATAAATCTTTCATAGAGCACGTCTAGCCTTTGAAAACATGATTTTTCAAAGTGTACTGAAAATTACGGATAGTTCTTAGTTCTAAGTGTTTTTCTCTTAAACGCCATCCTCAGAAACCTTTAAAAGGTCGTAGAGGTACAGAGCATAAAATTCTCTATCTATTGGTATTAAGGTTCTCCTTCCATTCAGAAAACTCGATTTTCATCAAAAAAATGATTTTTGAGATAAACATATGAGCACGTTGTCTGAGTTGCCTAGTGTACGAATTTATAAAAATAGTTTTAATTCTTGAAGGTTTTGAGTGGTTTTATGAATGATCTTTGAAACTATTTGGATAAATAATGATGCCTGGAGCAATCAGTAAATTTTTTTTCCCGAGTTAGATCTCAAACGTGAACAAATATTTATCAAAGGTAATCAAATATTGTGAATTTTAGAAACACTTTTTTGAATTCTACAATAACATGAGAGTATTGGTGTAGATCTTTTCTTCACCCACATTCACACCCTCAAAATAGTTGTTTTATATAAAATAAAATACCATATTTTTTATGAGTTACTAGTAAAAGCTAACCATCATCATCAATCGTTAAAAAAATTGTGAAGCCACAAGCGAATTGAAAAAAATTAATTTGTTATTCTTCTATCTTTATTATATTGTTGAATGGCATAACAGATATAAAGGCAATCGTAATATAATCTATTGCGATGTATCTCGTACAAGAAGGCAATCTAATGTACATACACAAGTGCTTCGATTGACATGTAATATATTTATGCTTCAACTCCATTTTAAGTAATAGTAGAAAGACTATATAAAAGAAACTTCTCTTATGTTTTTCTTAAAATTGGGTGTTTTTCGGTGATGATCAAACTGCGGGCAAATTTTTTCTCAATACACTTCCTTCTAAAGAGCTGTGGTTTTTTTAATTGATAGATATTACGTAGTCCTCTAGATGAATGAAAGGAATTCTATACTTAATCTTCAATGCTAGATAGGTTCTGAGTTTTCCAGAAAACCATGACTAGACATTCCAGATGTTTGAAATTTTAATGATCAGGAAAATGAAATAGAGTAAAATTTAGAAAAAAATCCTTTCACTCATCCAAAACAGTAAGGAGTTCTCTTTCAAATGAAAACAACCCAAGCTCTGCAGATTAAGATATTTTGACGAAAAATTTGTTCGCATAAAAGCCCTGTTTTGCAACTTGGTTTCTAGAAATCTCCTGAACGGTAAGATATAGAGACGTGAAATTTTTTTTATTAATGTATTTCCATGAGGTGAACGTCTATGGAAAGTTTCATCCATACATCATGTACTCCGTAGAAGTTAGATTTTTGAGGGGATCTCCTCAATTAATTTACTTTTAACGTCAGCGTTAGAAAAATCAATAAGTATCAATAGAGGATAGGAGATTGCAGTTGAATGGCTAAGTGGATATGAATCTTTTAAATTTGGCACCGATAAGATTAAATTT